TCAATAATTCCAATAACTGGCGTCAAAGGGTGTGCGATAGACTTGCCTCCATGTGGTGCACCCTGGGCAACGTATACTCATACGGCAAAAAAGTCTATTAATTGGCAGTTGACTTCTGACCTCAAACTACCATAACCCCACTGGATGCCATATTCTACCACTTCCACTGTAATCATCCTACCTTTTCTCTGCCTTTATGTTTGTCTCTTTTACAACTGTAAACCACTCTTCTGTTCCCCATCCCTCGACTTTCTGTTACTTTGGTGTTCCTTCCCCCTGTGAAGCCCGAAGTCAGCTAAAGGGCTAATGATAACTATCAAAACGCCTGCCATTTGAAATAAATAAATAAATAACTGACGTCAATAACCATGTCAACTGAGTGATTTCATTTCGAAGTACTATCGAGTCAGGCAAAAAAACTATATTTTCCATCAATTTAATCTATAGAGATGCCAAATAATACTCAGCGAAAGTACTTTTAGGAAAATACATGAATTTTTACCTTAAAAAAGACTGGAAAAGTTGGCTAAGAGTAGTGTGCACTGACAACCCTGTCGAAAGAAAGGCCGAAAACCAGGGAAATAAGATTGTCAGCAAATGGCTTAGTAAGGCTCTAAATGGATGTTTTCGTCTATGACGAGGAAGGAATTTTATGAGTATTGAGCTATACAAAAATTAACTAGAACCAGTCTTTGAAGAAATGTAAATGTAGATAAAGCCTTTAATCTTGCGCTGGGGTTTGAAGTTGGAGTGACTTTAACGGCGCTCAGTCATGTAACAAACCGCCACAATAGTGTAGCATATTAATTGCGCAACTCAAGTGTGACTAAACGGGGTGAAAAGGACTTAAAGTAGCCCCCTGAGGCTTGAAAAGACATTCGTCGCTTTTATGGCTTACCCATCCGCTTCCCCTTTGAAGAATTGAACGCGCGATAGTTGTGGAGAATCCCCGTGCTATTTATCTTATATGTTTACTAGTGAATTGTTGCAGAAACTTGGCTCCACTTTGTTCCACAGCTTAATTATACATGACTCAGATTATTATGGAAACAGATGTTTTCAATCTATAGCTGTGGGAGTTGGATCTCACCGTGTTTGAAATTCTATTTCTGGTAGCCTAGTCGGTTCTGGCACTTAATCTACAAAAGGTAATTATGAAGATGACCGCGGGTTAGGCATCTGATCGGTTTGGTCTTTATTACCAAGAATTTAGAACATATTGATGTGCTGGTAACTGAGATTTATGTCTGTGATTGGTAAGAATCTAGGTTATTGATCATTACGACGATACTTTCATTGGCCTTGAGCGCTTTCTTTAACTTGGATGAATCAACTCCACTTTGAGGATTTAATATCATGGAGTTATATCGAAGGTACCTCATTTCCTATTTGCTGTCTTTTCAATAGCTTACAACTTTGACCGTATAGCCTTCCTAAAACATAATCAAAGGATATTTCAATTTTCAAAAAATCATCGTGAAGATGATTTGGCTTCTTCGTAACGCTATGTTACGAAATATAATGTAACCGATAATATTATCAAGTCTTCGGATACAGTTATTTACATCTAGGGGTTAGGAAATTCCATGCTCAACGAAGTCTTCTATTCATTTTTAAAATGAATTGATCATATATCCTCTCTCTCTCTCCATATATATATATATGAAGCAAGGAAGGAGAAGGTGCAGTGTTAAAAGGTCTGTTTACAAACTTTTATAAATCATTCTTAGAATATTGAATATATTCTATTATCTCACTTATCCCGGTAAAAATTTGACAGCTGTTTGAATAAATTTTCGCTTCACAGTGGATCAATTAAAAACAGCTTTAAATATGATTTCCAACCAATAGGCTTTCGCTTTCCAAAGGCATTTATTGGGAAAGTATATTTTTCTGTGGCGTGATAAAACAAGTATTACTCATAGTTGCCGGGCACTGTTTTCAACCGAATTTATGATGCAATGATTTAAGAAGGCAACCCCAACTTCGATCATAAGTAAGCAAGCAACGCTACTCTAGGACATTGTGGAAGATATACCGAAAAACGCTTTCTGGTGTTTAGTTGGGTTAACCTCCCTTCCTAATTCATACGAAAGTCTATTGAATTAATTGAGTGCCTCGGAGGGATTACACACCTGTCTTTTCGTTGTCTCTCCAATCTGATTCGACTTTTACTTAACAGTATCACGTGGAGATCTTGATCATTGTAGGAAGAAATCGGCGTTTAGCATTGTAGAAGTAAAGGAAATATATATTTGGCAGGTCATTGTGATCGTTACCAATTTACCAAAGTAAGTCAATCTTTTGATAAAAGATGGTAACGAATATATTATATGAATTGCCCACTACGCAAAAGTTCATGAGGCCCTGCAATTGACACCAACAAGGTAAAACCAGATCAGTATGAAAAACATTACTAATTTAGAAGTTTATTGATAAAAGCCATGTTATAAGGGAGAACCAAGATTATTTGTCAAAATACTTGTACGCGATTTCATAAACATTTATCACATCATAAATAAGGAAAAAAGGATATCTAGCATTCATTCTTAAGGCCAGTCATGCAAGCTGCATTGTAATATCGTTAAAACTATAAGATAGTAAAGCTTGATTTCTTTCGTGCTTTTATGTGAAATTTTATTTAAACCAAAGTTGGAAACATGATGTTTAAAGTTGTATGAAACTTCGCTGTTTTCTGAATTACATTTTCATATCAGCTTACTTTATGCATTTATTCCTTTGCTATGCTCTGCCGATATTTCGGAAAGCACCACCATTTAAGATATATATATATATATATAAGTCTTGCAATTTTGAAGAAACAAATAACAATAGTAAAAGAATATACTGAACTGAATATTGGCGTATTTACTTCATCGATATTGTATAGCAGTAATTAAAAAATAATGCTTTAATGACAAATTGGATTCACAATGGAATCAAGTGCTTAAAAGTAGCTTTTACCCCGAAAATGGGTTAGTCAACGAGTAGATAGTTGAATATTGGTAAATTTACCGAGAGAATCAAAGAAAGAAACTAAGTGTCTACGTATACTTACAAATTTGTCGTCTTTGCAAAGGGATTATTACCGCACCTTCTTATAGGCCAAACTCCAGCTCATTTCGATCCTGTATAGTCCCTTATGAAATCATAAGCGAAAACTAAAATAATTAAGAAAGAGACAACATTCATTTTAATTCGTGTTAAGCCATTAAATAATAAATTTGTGTGCATTTAGATGTTAAATAATTTATCTTTGCTGCTTAGTGCTAATTACAATACCATAATTAATAACAATGGACTAGTTTAATTTGACAAAATCACTCATATGCTTGAATATGATTGGCTGAATAATTGCGGCTGGTACAAGAGCTTGGCATACGCTTTTTTAGTTTGCCGATTGACTATGCAAAATGTCTTTCTTTGGCTCAAGTACGTTCTTATAAATAACGAACGGTTTTTTTGAAGGTGTTCAATCTAAGAAGGATGTTGAGGTGCCCTCTCCACCTACTGATACAGTTTCTTGTATAAAATTTTCACCTGCTAACACTAATTCCACAAATACATATTTGGCTGGAACCAGTTGGGATAATCGTGTTCGCGTTTGGGAAGTGGCTTCTAATGGATCAGCGAATCCAAAAGCCGAACAGATGCATCAAGGTCCTGCTTTAAGTTTATGTTGGAGTAACGATGGTACGAAATTATTTTCCGCCGGAGCTGACAAAACCGCTCAAATGTGGGATCTTCAATCAAACCAGTTTGTTCAAGTTGGCGCTCACGATGCTCCAATTAAAACAGTTCACTTCATTCAGTCTCCCAATTACACCTGCATCATGACTGGTGGTTGGGATAAGAAATTGAAGTTAGCAACCGATTTTGGTGCCTGTTACGGTTAAATATTTCTAGGTTTTGGGATATGAGACAACCAAATCCAATGACAACTATTGATCTTAGTGAACGTGTTTACTGCGCTGATGTTATTTATCCAGTTGGTGTTGTTGGTCTTGCCGGAAGACAGATCGCCGTTTATAGCTTAGAAAATGGTCCTACTTCGGTTGTACAAATTGAATCCCCTCTTTCTCATCAGAACAGATGCATCAATATTTTCATGGACAAGCAAAAGCAAGCTCCAGCTGGTTTCGCACTCGGAAGCATCGAAGGACGGTGTGCTATTCATTACTTCCAGCCTAGTGCTCCGAGGGATAACTTCACTTTTAAATGCCATCGATCACCTAATGCAGAAGCTGGTTTCTATGAGATCTATGCTGTAACTAAAACTTTTGCCACTACTTCGTTTCAAAGCTCTATTTTAATTTTTGTTCTTTCGTTTGACAGGTTAATGACATCGCTTTCAATCCCCTCTATGGAACCCTAGCGACCGTCGGATCTGATGGTCGCTATGCCTTTTGGGATAAGGACGCAAGAACTAAACTTCGAGGTCTTGATGTTCCAGAGATGCCGATCACTTGCTGTGCTATCGATCGGACCGGAAATTTGTTCGCCTACGCCTGTGGATATGATTGGTCAAAGGGACATGAATTCGCTGATCCCAATAAACCGCCCAAAATTCTCATTCGTCAAGTTATTGAAGAAATGAAACCCTCAAAGTAATTGTGGAGATATTTTTTCTCATCATCTCTGTGTATTTTTTATATATAAATGCAAATATTGAAAGTTCGTTGTATTGTTTTCGTAATTCTGGCTTCATAATTCTTGGCGCTTTTGCTAATTCACTCGCTTCACACTAGAAGAGCAGACGTGAAGAAAAAAGGTTCTTGAGAATAGAGAATATGTATTGCCCGACGTTTTTTGAGGTGTAGTAAACTTAGTTGCTTCAAGAACTTATAGGCTTTGCTCTTGAGTTTCTTTAATGGGTTTTGATGTTATGTTTAAGACAAGTAATCACTCCAGGCAACATTTTTCTGTGTGAGACAAAACCATCATTGATTATCATTTCGGATATGAAATTACATGTTAGGAAAACGAAGTTCTTCTTGGGCTTCTTTATGGAAGTGTAGCTATTCGGTGCTGTGGAGAATTGAACTCTGTGGCTAGTCTCATATCTTTGGTGGATTCTTATTTTTCTTTAGATTGCATTCAAGCTGCTTCTTCTGATAAAATCCGATGAAATTAGATTAGGATTGCTGGCTGGTTAATTCAACTTAGCACTATTCCTTTCAATGAAGTTACTTTGAGTTACTAAACTGCTCCTGATATCTTCTTGTGGAATTAATAATCTTCCCGAAGGTGATCAGGGTGTAATCGCCTTTTGCCAAGTAGGATCCCCGGATGTTTAACAACCTCAAATAAGGAGGATAAATGAAATTAGAAGTTTGAAGAAAAACTGTGTCAGCAGCCGAGTGATTGATATCGAAATAAGAGTGGAGGCGGAGCCATTTTGTCACGATAGTTACATTCGTCCTGAGTAGAAGGATATTTGAGTTGAGCATATCCTGAGGGCAAACGTCTCTTCAGTTTACATAAGCCCACTTTTAATCTGCGTGTTGGCAAGTTCTTCCATATTGTCTGACGCGTTGCTACCCCCCTCTTATCTCTAATCCACCGGTGACCATGTGTTCGGTGGCTATAATATGCTAAGATAGAGGTGACTATTTTTTCGGTCATGATAGTCTAACTAATTAGTACCACATAAATTTTTTAATATTAATGCGAGATTACACAAAACCATATCATCCCTTCAATAACGCAAAGAAGGCTCGTATTATTAAATCTTGAGCTGAATTAATGGCCTATTTTACACCTCATCTTCACATGTTCAGTCCACTATCAATTTCAGTGTAGTCGTCGACCAGAAAGATTTGATGCTGCTTTCTTTGGTGAAACCGTCGAGTAATTTAATCATCCTCGAGGATGCCCCACTGACCTGAAAATGGTCTCCACATCTACTTTATTATTATCAAGGGTTCATCAAAATCCCTGCAGCTAGGAGTTTTCAATTGAGATCCATAATAGGATTTACGGAAAGCGCAATATTATTTCAAATGGCAGGCTTTATGATATTTATCATTAGCCCCTTAGTTGATTTCGTATTTCACTAGGGGGGAGGGGACATATATAGCAGTTAAATAATAGCAGTTCATTAATTGTCTTCTGGCTTCCCAGTATCTAAGGGTTTTCGTCGTTATCTTTAGGGCTGGACACCGAATCAGGTGGGTCTTCTCCATAAATGTAGGTTACATAGAGGGCATGTGGGTTGAGTGTATACGTAGGTTGCATAGGAGACATATTGGTTGAGTGTATACTCCTAATCTGTGAAGGTGTTTTGCCATTGTCCAGTACGTAGTCTAAACTCAGCAACGGCTCGTATACTCCCAATCTGTGAAGGTGTTTTGCCAAGCAATCGTTAGGTTACATAGAGGGCATGTGGGTTGAGTGTATACTCCCAGGCTACATAGGGGGCATGTGGGTTGAGTGTATACTCCCAATCCAGAGGGCATGTGGGTTGAGTGTATACTCCCAGTCTGTGAAAGGGCATATGGGTTGAGTGTATACTCCCAATCTGTGAAGGGGGCATGTGGGTTGAGTGTATACTCCCAATCTGTGAAGGTCCATGTGGGTTGAGTGTATACTCCCAATCTGTGAAGGTGTACATGTGAGTTGAGTGTATACTCCCAATCTGTGAAGGTGTTTATAGGCAATCGTGTTCGGTACGTAGTCTAAACTCATCAACGGGGCAATCCTGTCCGATACGTAGTCTAAACTCAGCAACGGCTTCGATTCTCGCCAGCCGGGTATGTCGGAGAGTGCCACTGTCCACTATTTCTCCTCTAATCGGAGAGTGCCACTGTCCACTGTTTCCCTTTGTTTCCACTGTCCACTGTTTCTCCTTTGTTCGAGCTTTGAGTTCGTTGGTATGGTCTGGAATTCTCTCCTGATTAAGGCCTTCATTACATGAATTCTCTCCTGATTAAGGCCTTCATTGTGTGGACTGTCCGATACGTAGTCTAAACTCAGCAACGGCTTCGATTCTCGTAGTCGGCTATGTCGGAGAGTGCCACTGTCCACTGTTTCTCTGTTGTTCGAGCTTTGAGTTCGTTGAACCTTGAGGTCTGGAAACTATCCTGATTAAGGTCTTTATTGTGTGAAAAAACATCGGTCGGTCTATTCCTTGCAAAATTGTTGTCCCCTGCTTAGCAAGTGCGTCAGCAAGCTCATTGCC